ACAGCTTGTCACCATCTTTCTTAAGCTTGAACACCCATTTGTTTTTCAAGGCTTTTTTACCTTCCGGAAGCTTCACAAGCTCATAAGTTTCATTTTTCATCAGTGAATCCATTTCTTCTTGCATGGCTTTCATCCACTGGAATTTATCCTTATGAGTCTGTACTTCTTCAAAGCTTTCTGGCTCCCCTTCTTCAGTGATGGTAATATACGTAGAACTAGGGTATCTCGTAGACGGTTGGAACGCTCGATTTGATCTCCTGAGCTGAGGTGGAGCTTCGAGGTCTTCCTGCTCAACACCTTCACCATCACCATCTTCTATTGCTGGCTCATCATCAACCCTGAGTTCTCCATCACACTCTCCCCCTGCTGTGGCATCTCCAGGAGGTTTTACAGGTGAAAGATCCACCTTACCACTTGGTTCTCTGATTTCTGGTGAAGCAGAATCAGACATAGTTTCTTGCTCATGGAACACTACATCTCTGCTTCTGATAATTTTTCGATTTTCTGGATCCCATAACCTGTAGCCAAATTCCTCATCTCCATAGCGCAGAAATATACAAGGAATGGCTTTATCGTCAAGTTTTCGTCTCTGTTCCTTGCTTACGTGAGCAAAAGCTTTGCATCCAAACACCTTCAAATGAGAGTATTTAACATCATGTCCGGACCATACTCTCTCGGGGATATCAAAGCCCAAAGGAACAGATGGAGATCGGTTGATCAGGTAGCACGCCGTTAGAACAACTTCACCCCAGAATGGCTTAGGTAGTTTAGCCATTCTTAACATACACCTCACTTTCTCCATAATGGTTCTGTTGATTCTTTCAGCCACACCATTATGATGTGGGGTTCCAGGTACAGTCTTCTCATGCCTGATGCCATGCTCGGCACAATAATTCTTGAATTCATGGGAAGTATACTCCCCCCCATTATCTGAGCGAAGACACTTCAAAGGTTTACCAGCATGTCTCTCCACCATAGCATGAAACCTTTTGAAATACTGAAACACTTCACCCTTCGTTCTCAAGAAATACACCCACAATTTTCGTGAGGCATCATCAATAAATATCACGAAATATCTGCTACCACCGAGACTCTCCACTTCCAT